TGGCACAGCTTGCTGCAATAGTGAACCCAGCAAACAAACCTACTAAAGTGAAATGGAGCCTCTCCTGGTCCAGGGCCTTGGAAAATTGTGGAAAAGCTGTTCTTTAATAAGGGTTTAATAAGGGATTGGTTCTTTTGGGAAAGGCTTGGAGTTTGAATTTGGCAATTTTGGAAAAGGCTTGCTTCCCTTCTGGGCTTCCAGGGGCTGCTCTGGCACAGCTTGCTGCAATAGTGAACCCAGCAAACAAACCTACTAAAGTGAAATGGAGCCTCTCCTGGTCCAGGGCCTTGGAAAATTGTGGAAAAGCTGTTCTTTAATAAGGGTTTAATAAGGGATTGGTTCTTTTGGGAAAGGCTTGGAGTTTGAATTTGGCAATTTTGGAAAAGGCTTGCTTCCCTTCTGGGCTTCCAGGGGCTGCTCTGGCACAGCTTGCTGCAATAGTGAACCCAGCAAACAAACCTACTAAAGTGAAATGGAGCCTCTCCTGGTCCAGGGCCTTGGAAAATTGTGGAAAAGGGGGTTTAATAAGGGATGGTTCTTTTGGGAAAGGCTTGGAGTTTGAATTTGGCAATTTTGGAAAGGCTTGCTTCCCTTCTGGGCTTCCAGGGCTGCTCTTGGCACAGCTTGCTGCAATAGTGAACCCAGCAAACAAACCTACTAAAGTGAAATGGAGCCTCTCCTGGTCCAGGGCCTTGGAAAATTGTGGAAAAGCTGTTCTTTAATAAGGGTTTAATAAGGGATTGGCTTTGGGAAAGGCTTGGAGTTTGAATTTGGCAATTGCCTTTGGAAAAGGCTTGCTTCTCTTCTGGGCTTCCAGGAGCTGCTCTGGCACAGCTTGCTGCAATAGTGAACCCAGCAAACAAACCTACTAAAGTGAAATGGAGCCTCTCCTGGTCCAGGGCCTTGGAAAATTGTGGAAAAGCTGTTCTTTAATAAGGGTTTAATAAGGGATTGGTTCTTTTGGGAAAGGCTTGGGGTTTGAATTTGGCAATTTTGGCAAAGGCTTGCTTCCCTTCTGGGCTTCCAGGAGCTGCTCTGGCACAGCTTGCTGCAATAGTGAACCCAGCAGACAAACCTACCTTGACTGAGCTATAGCGTTTTTGAGAAAAAATGCCTCTCAGCAATTACAGTTTTTTTTGCAAAAAAAAGGGCTCTCCCAATTTTGTTTTGCCACAAAAGCGAACCCTCCAAACAATACATGAGTTTCAGAATAATTTGGAAAAAATTTGCCACAATAGCGACCCTAGGTACTAATCAGGACCCAACATTAGCTATGTTAGTTTACCAGAGGGTAAGTTGTCTCGTTATTGGAATTCATGAGTTTGCAGCCAGAATTGATGGGCGGATAAGCTGAGGCCATTGCATCAAACGAGCGAAAAACCACAGTTTTTACCTTGTTCCGAAGATGATCAAAAAATACTGTAGCAGCTGCGGTAAACCCATTCAATCTGGGTAAATTATAACGACCTCACTGCGACCTCACTGGAATCATGGTTAGTAAGGGGAATCATCCCCAAATGGCCTTAATTCAGGTTAGTGAAATATTATAATTTACCCAGATTCAATGAGCCTCCGTCTTTGGAAGGTAGTTTATACCAAGCATTTCTGGGGAAATCGATGGTACAATGGTGGTTTTGACACATCAATAGAGGTACTGTCCCGGAAACGATTTGCAGAAATGACCATCCGAAAATGCCCAAGACCACCAGCACCAGCCTTGCTGCACCTATGCCTCACTGTCCTCCGGCTGCAGAGTCAAGCCTGCAGTCAAAATCTGTGATTTGAGCCCCTGGTCAATTTTGCGATGATGCAACAAAAACCTTTGACTTTGGACTTTGGGTGATAATTTTAAAGTATCAATCAATAATTCGAAACTAAAGAGTTTTGATTGTATGATAATCTAGTCAGTAATCATAGGTGACAGCAGTGAGACGACGGACTAAAAGTTTGATTTGGTCAACAACAGTGGTCACATGACTTGTGAAGAAAGTTTGATGTGATGACTTTTGATTTTGATGATGATGATGATGAAGATGATGATGGTTTATTGGTGGGTTTACCACATTATTTGTTATTACTATTGTCTATTCAGTCGACACAGGTTTTCGCTTGAGTCAAACAATCATTTGAGGTTTCTGGCTACAGTAACAGCCAAATATTGGTCATTGTTGTTAGTAAAAGGTCACTGGGGATTGTTGTTGTTTAATGCTGTTGAAGACTGCATATTGTTGTGTTCTTTTTGCCTCTTAGCCATATCGTGCAACCTCTGTCCATAGCTTTAGACAGCGATCGACCTCAGTAGCTTTTGATGATGATCAGGAGAAAAAATGGTTAGTGCTTCCTACTTGGGAAATGTAAATATACTTAAATAATCTTAAATATACCATAATATACCTCGACCCTCCAAACCCGCAAATTTGTAGGTTGGCACTTAAAACACATTGGGTTTCAAAACAGAACCACTGTTTTTCTGTTTCAGCAAATTTCACAACCATGCTCCCAATTGCTCTGATTTTCGTCATGTGTTGGGTCCTAAAAGAATATCGCATTTCTGTCCAGTCTACTGGTCATGGATGCCTAAACACAAGCCCGAACGCAACAAAACCACATGATATTCTCACTATTTCCAAGGGGTTCTAAGCCATGTTCGAAAACGCGGGTGCACCCGGGTCAAGCACAGCTTGAACACGGGTTGGAGAAAACCCTAGTTATTTTGTAAGGCGCCGAGGTTCACTCCACACACTCTGGGGATTCCGTTAAGAAACACGGGTTGCACACGGGTTGCTAGAGGCTTGAACTCCTGACCCAGACTATAGTAGATATGACATGATGTGACATCCTGACTGGTAAAGGTGAATGCCGGTAAATCCAAGAAACATATGCAACAAAGCAGGAGCAGTGTGAAACCCAAGGTTTTGAGCATGATCACGGCCAAACCCAGGGTTGTAGCTTAAAAACTCGGGAACCCACAAATTTGTAGGGTTTAGAAGCTAAGGACATATATATATATATACATATATATATATATAACTCACATAATGAGTGCGGACATTCCATCATCAACACCGGGGTATTGTGAATACTTCCACCAAAAAAAAAGCCCTCGAAACCGTAGTATTGGATCTATGAATTGGGGTCCCCATGGGTCCCCAACCTTGGACGCTTGAATCTGAGGGGGACGCTTCTCTACCCTCCGGTAACATAGCTACGGAACATTGCCCATTTATCGATGATTTTCCCAGCTATAAACCTCCATTTATAATGTATTTCCATAGCTATGTGAAAAATAACCAGACAATATAGATAAATAACATTAGATAACCATAGAAACGGCAGCTGATTTTCCAGTTCGCCAGCACGGCTGTGGTTGGTTCAATGCATTTCAATGCCTCATCCCGAAAAACCCCAGCGCTCGGCAGCGGCAGGCAGGTCCTTTGAAATATTTGATCTACACCTCGACGTACCACTCCTTGCATCACAGCCGGGGGCCTTGTAAAACAACCTTCCCCGAAAAATCCTAGAATTGGTTGCAGGGAGCCTCTGAGTTTCGTGGGAGAAAACTTTTGGATGTTTTTGGCTGATTTTACTAGAAACCAACCCGGTGATTGGCAGATTGGAAGAGATTATCAACATGAGGAGATACAAGATCTATGATCTATCTTGGCAAACAAATATGGGGGAAAGACTGGTAACAGTATATTGTGATATATTCTGACGATCCTTTCGAATTGGGGTTGTGCCTCATTTTGAGGTACCAAGTTCATTTAGACACTGAAAGACTGAAGCACTCTCCACTACGCACGGCCAGCAAAGATTTCAGATTCAAGTGGTTTGGAAATCGGCGTTGCATCAGAAATTGATTGGATCAAAATATCTTGGACTTTGCCATTGTCTGGTTTTGTATTATATATATATATAGAGATACAATTGGAAAATTGTGTATCTGATGTCTTACACTATTTTGTATATGCATGCTGCATAGCCCATTGGACCAACTGAGTTTTGCATTGTGTTAAACCACCAGCCATTTACATCATCTATCGCTGAGCGTTTTGATAGTTGACATACCTTAATACCTCCAAAATGTGAAGCCCCAACCCCAGTAGCTTAATTTTTGGGTGCATATACATTTTGAACAATTTCTACCCTGGCTTTTTGATCACTATTTTGGCCCTGAGGCAAATACAAGTACAACTACTGCCTCTTTTGCCCCATTTGGGATCACATTGGAGGCTCAGCATGCGATCGTCGCCGTTGAATGTCCGCTTGCTATATAAGTGATCGGTAACCTGGTTGGTAGGTTGAAATATAATATGTCTTTTGTTCAACCATTTTTGGGATGATGTTCCCATTGACTAATAGATGTTCAAGGGGTTGGAACCACCAATCAACAACAATAGGATACAATTAAAAGTTTCAAGGTCTAAAAGTGTAAACATAGCATCAAATCGAATTCAAAGAACACCGTGAGAACAATGAATAAAGGACTCGCGAAGCCTCCTTTCATTCCACGGACTATCCAGTGACGAAGTGGCTCTCCCAATCTCCACAGGCACAGTGCACTCAACTGCTGAGAGCCTTCATGAACAGGTGCCTGTGAATGGCAGTGAAGCGGGTCATGTGCAAACAAAACATTAGTATAGATTAGCCAGATTAGATAGATTCGCTGAAGACCATGCTGACCATATTTTTTGGCATCAGCTGACTCAGCTTACCTGACTCAGCTGACTCAGCTCATATTGGATCCCATGATCCCGCGACAGAATTCAGCAATGGTCAGAACAATGATGAAAAAATCTTCAGAATAGTTTTGTTTCTATATCATTGCTTACTTATATTCTGATTATTCTGAAATTGGTTCTTACTTTGAATCTGAAATTTGATCTGAAATCACCCATTTCTAACATCCAACCACTATTTTGGCACCCGCGGCCATGCGCCACGCAAGCACCAGGTGCTGACGCAGAAGCCGCGCCCGTTGGACGCGGTCTTCCTGGCCCATGGCCATGGCACTCACTCCATGTCGGCAGCTCTCAGCTGTGGCCGTTGATGATTTGATCACTAGGTCCCTTCCCTTAGTCACTAGAGTCATGCATTAGTCATACGGCTATGGATCAATACCTATTAATACCATTTTTAGGGGAATGAACATCAATTTACCAGCTATTTTGGTGTTCACCAGGGGTACAAGGTTTTGACACACTGCCATACAACAATCCTTCAAAAAACACCGGTACCATCACAGGTGGATGACAAATGGCCGGATACCGTATCTGGCTTTGTCCGTCTACCCCAAACTCCTGTGCTCTCATTTTCTCAATTCAAATTGCGGATTTGTATACCATGGTATACGGTATACGGTATACCCCATTTCTGGTCAAACCCATTTAGGAGGCTTTTGGGATGTGTTTGATTGAAATTTACTCTGACTCCTGACTACTTGTAGTGAAAGAAACTATTTTAGCTGCTCAGTGAATACAATACTATACTATATATATATATATATCAAAACGATTTCATACTCATCATCATAGATGACAGCATTTACCCACTGGTATGTTATCTTTGAAATTGCTACCTTGTTTGAGAGATCCGCCGTCCAGCACCAAGGCTTCACTTGCCATGGTCTGGGTCTCAATGGAAGTACTACCCCTTTCTGGAGGAATTTCAAAGACGCATCTGAAAATTCAATATTGGGGAATTATGATTACACGTTTCAATGGAAAATCCACCATTTTTAGATGATTTTCCCAATAGAACCTCCATTTATAGGTGATTTTCCAGCCAGCCACGTTTGAGAACGCCGGAGGGCAACTTACTGTACTGTTTTATGGGGATGTCATGGGGATTTGATATATGGGTATACAAAACCCATATTAGTTTTGGGTGTGTTTGAACGTTGGGGATACCCATACAAGGGATATCCATACAAGGGCCATAAAATAGGGAACATTATTAAATATATACATATATATATATATATGGTCTCGTGTTCCGTGTTCCTACCCCCCCAATGGTATGGGTCCCCAGGTAGCACCCCGTTCCCTTCTACTTGCAAGCTATTGAAAGCATTTCTGAGGTTCAGCCTCGTATTTACTAGGTTTTTGCAGCGATTCTGACCACCAGCCTCGCATTTCCTAGGTACATGCTACCTTTTAGACGACGTACGTAGCACACATACTCCCTCAAAGTACCTACATGCTACCTATAGTTATTTATACATGTGCTATGTATCTACTTCCTATATTCATGTATATATATATATATATTATAGACACACACATATGTATATACATACATACATACATACATATATATATATATATATATATATACACATATTCATATTTATATATATATATATATATACATACACATATATATATATACATATTCATATATATATATATATATATATACACATATATATATATATTATACATGTATATACATGTAAAAACATACATACATACATACATACAAATAAAAACATACATACATACATACATACATATAAAACATATATATATATACACATTTATACATGTATACATATATATACATACATATTTACATATATATATATATACATACATATTTACATATATATATACATACATATTTACATATATATACATATACATATACATACATACATACATACATACATATATATATGTATATAACCACACCCCCACCACACCACCGGGGGGAGGGGGGACAGTACCAAACCCCCACCACACCACAGGGGGGGAAGGGACAGTACTATGGCTGACAAATGAGCATGGCGGGGGGGGGGGGAGGGGGATTGGAACGCTGGACCATATATATATATATATATATATATCAGACCTGGAACCCCATGCATGTTCAGGCAAACTATGTATATATATACTTATATATATTCATCTGATTATTTTTAAACTTTATACTTCATAAGTATTTTTGTGGAATGATATTTGTCATTATATATATATATATATGTAATTATATACATATTTATTTATTTGTTGTGTAAATATTAATGTATATAATTATATATGTATATAATTTGTGTCATTACATATTTTATGACATAAATATGTAATCATATGTGTGTATGCATTTATATAAGTAATTTAAATGTGTTTTAATGTAATTATATAGGTGTATAGTTGTTTATATTTGATTGTGTATATATATATATATACATTCATTATAACATGTATGTACATACCCATGGACAACCAGCCGGACATTTCAGGCTCTCGCCCTTCCTGGCAACTCATCAACATGAGCAGCGCTGGTGGATGATTCCACTTCAGCCTCTGACCTTTTTGTGGGTGGGGGGAACTCAGCTTGGATGGGCAGCTGATCAATCCCTTCCCCTGAACTGTAGATCACTGTAGATCACTCATGTAGTGTATTGGATCCAGGCTGTAGATGACTCCCATCTAGAGATTCACTCCCACTTCGGTGGCACTCAAACACCCAATACCGGTGCTTTTTTGGACTGCCATTTTTTTTAACCCAATTAAGTATGCACTAATCTGGTTTGCCAGTGGTTTCAAGATGTTTCAATAGCAAAACTCTATAGATGATGTGTATGCTTTATTGCATTTGTTTTGCCAGTTTGATTGATTTGATATCGCCATATGATGGTTTCAATCCCGCAACATCTCTTTAAATATCCCCATTCATATCCTGGTTTAACCAACAACCTGCTTAACAAGTCCTCGAAATGGTACCGAATCCCACCGCTGATAGAACCGCGCGGTGCTGCCCCTAGGTGGTTTTTTGCCGGTACTGTCTCAGCACTGCCTGCGTCCAGCGTCACTTGGGTCAAGTCATTGTGTACCGTCCATGGATGAACAGCTAGTTGGATGATGTTGGATGTAATTTGGTAAGCCCAACATATTACATCCCCAACATATTCCATATTACCATCAGATTACCAAATGTTGATGTTGGATGATGTTGGATATGATAAACCATCCCCAATTTTGGGTTTATGCGCTGGGTTCATGAAGATATTCAAGTCGGTTTTCCAAGTTTGCCCCCCGACAAATTGATAACGAGTGTTGCATTCCCTGTTTGAGTTACTGCTCTCAACCCAAACATGTATCTGGATCAGTTATAACGACCTGACGGCGAGATCACTGTGAATTGTGGCTAGTAGGGTAACTATCCCCCAATTGGCATTGGTGACCAGCATACTTTACCCAGATATGTGGGAAAATTCACAGGATGGTGCCCCCCAGCTATATGTTGGTTTACAACCCCATTAACTATAGTTATATCCACCATAAACCATAGTTAAGCCACTTATAAGATCTTATAAGGTAACTGAACGCTATCTTGGAGGCCCCATCCTGCATCAAAAAACCCTCCTAATTCGATGCGTAATTTTCTCCATTCGCCAAGGTTACCAATACCGCGGCACCCAATGTGCCACCTGGTCAGGGACCTTAGCCTGAAGTGTTGGTCGCACTGATGTGGTTCCTTTGGTCGACGGCATCAATAGATATAATGTTGGTAAATGTTGGTAAAACAATAATAAACCATCCCCCAAATCATCATAAATAGGTTGAATAAACAATTCCCAAATTATTGGTTTATTATTGTTTTAACATGTGTTAACCATATTAGACAATATAGATATGATGAATGGTGTCTATTTAAAGGTCTAGCGAAAGATCCACTATTTGTTGTGTTGAAATGTTTGTCGCGGGCTATCCCATACTTGTGTCACGAACTTGCCAGGAGAACCTTTTCATCTTTTCAACCTTTTCTGCTGGGTAGAAGCCCCACAATTCGAGGAGCAAAGATCCAAGCCAGAGCGAAATCATGCGAAGAAAAGCGAAACAGCGAAACTTATCAAACTTGGGATCTCTGACTGACTCAAAAGTGACAGCCGTATCTCCACACCTGGCGTACAGATCCATCAGATCCATCCCGCCAATCCCACGGTAGATCGCATCGATAGGCCTAGAAACATGGGGATGTCTCCAAACAAACCTTAAAACGGAGATGTCATGGTAATTGTATACAAAGGGGATATGTAAAATGCATATATATATATATATTATTATTATTATTATATATACACATACATATATATGTATATACATATATATATATACATATATTTATATATACATATTATACATATGGTCACACACACAGAACCCCCCTGAAGCATTGAAATATCTCCACGGGGTTCTGCGGGTGGGTGAGTATATATATATATGTACAGACATATAAACATACATACGTACATACCTACATACATACACACATACATACATACATACATACATACATACATACATACATTGATACATTGATACATTGATACATTGATACATTGATACATTGATACATTGATACATGGGGGTATGATAGAATATAGACCTTTTTTTTATAGTGTGTGCATAACTTATAGGTTTGCCCGGAAATTGCGGGACTTACAAGATACCATCAATCCATGGCTATGAAGTATTGGGGAAGAGGGTTTTAACCATGAGATGGACAAGGTTGACCCAGAATACTCATCCCACAGCTCCAAGGTGTCTCCCGGTGACTGGCCACTTCTATTTTATGAAGTCGCACAGGCCACTGATTCGTTCCTCTGATCCAAGATGTTACCAGTGGATGTAGGAACCCCCTGGTACAACTCTAGCTGGTGGATTGTCGGCCCCTAGCATCAGCTGGCCTGGATTTTTTAGGGAAGCACCAGCAAATTGAGCTCATGTTTGCTTAAAATGACACCTCATTTTGAGCGCATCAATCATTGATTGCCTGCTTAAAATGACACCTCATAAAATGAGCGCATCAATCATTGATTAATCATTGATTCCATGAATCATGCTGCGCCATGATCATCCATGATCAAAACATTGGTTATTTTCCCATAAAAGGGAAGGGTAATCCCCTCATGTCATAACTAGGGGTTAACCTAACCATAATAAGATGAACGTGATGAACACGATCCAAGTCCAAATATGTCAATCATAACCACACATCATCATGATGAAAATGGAGCCATCAACTACATGTTTCCGCATTTCCAGTAGGAAAAAATAACATATGCGGCATATGTGGGTTTTTTGAAAAAATGGTGATCCAACTATCCAACAAAAACTATGGCTTTCAATACTAAGTCATGGCCTAATGACTTCGATGATTTGGTGGTAAACTTCCGCTGGCAGGCAAGCCATCTCAGACATGATCGTGCAGGCGCCGGTCATAGCTACACTGGTGGGCTGTACAAACGATGCACATGGAGTATTGGAGTTTGAAATGCCCCTATAACCTTGGGCAATTTAACAGAACTATGGAAAAACAATGAGCATCATCATCATCATCATCATCATCATCATCAGTTTTGAAAGGTAAATCCCAAGGATAGGCTTATTTAAACCAGATAGATTCAGTAGCTAACATTAGCTAACTATAGTATACAATGCCAAGCAGATCCAACCATTCGCGCGGTCATTCGATGAAGTGTGGCTGATTTGGCTCCACACACCGGGAAATCCGACCAGATGACCTTTTCAGAGTTGTAAAATGACCTAAGGATACCTAAGGTCATATTCGACCATAGTGAACCATACCCACAATACAATTTCTATGGCTTTACATCATCTGGTTGGTGGTTTGGAACATTTCTTATTTTTCCCATCATATTGGGAATATATAATCATCCCAACTGACGAAGTCATATTTTTCAGAGGGGTAGGGCTCAACCACCAACCAGATCATTATATATCATATATCTCAGTAATGTGGATACACCAGTTACACCAGTCATTATATATCTCAAACCACCAACCAGTCATTTTCCATCCAATTTTGGTTACTTCAATTCCCATTTTTGCTGGGAGCCCTTTTGGGGATCATCCAGGCCGTGAAGGATGCAGACGATGCCGGAGTTCGATACCTGGGCCTGGCTCATCTCAATAAGGCGTAGAAGGGCGTAGCGAGCGGGTCCCGTGGGATTTCAGCAACATGGTGAGATAAAGCTGGTTTTTCATGGCATAGCACGGGATTATTTGATAATATTTGATATACCATATATATATATAGGGAATATCCCTATATATATATTATTGTTCCCAGAAAATTGTGTTTTAATGTGAACATCATCGAACTAAATGATGGATCTTCCATGACTAATTCGTGTTTGTTTCACAGCAGTAAATAATTATTCATCTTCACTAAATGTGCCATGGCTTCCGTTGAGAACTTAGCGAAGTGCAAAAAACAAATACCAGGGGTAATTGAATGGTGATCATATCTGAATTATATTTATCTCCCCTTTTGTACCCTAAAAGAAACATATCCTACAACCCTATTGATAACCCACAGCCAGTTAAGTAACACCATGGCCCATCTGAAGATATCTGAAGTACAGCCTTGTTTTGTACTTTAGATAATCATCAACATCAAACATGGGGATTTGAACCATTCTTAGTCTACCATGTGTTTTCAATTTATTTACATTGAGTTGGATAGTAAGTTCTTGCAGGATTATCCCAAACGTCGTAACTCTACAAAAATGAGCCTGGCGATCGTAAGTCCCAAATCCCACAAGTTGCCGGGTTATGGCTATTCTCACTATATAGAGTTGCCATAATATAGTTGCCATAATATAATATATAGTTGCTAGTTTATGGCTGTTGGCTATACGTATATTATTACTTTATATAGTTGCTCGCCAACAGAGAAGAGGATGCAGGCAACCGGAATACCAACCAACATGCCCAACATTACCCAACTAAACCGTAATTGGATGACAACCAACATATTGGGGAACACAGGTAGTTGGTTTGGAATTGGATGTGTTTGAGGCAGGACATTGAGTGTATCTTCCATCAACCAATGATCACACAGGAAGCTGGACCCATCCCCATATGGTTGTGGGTCAAAATGGTGTAATATGAAACCGCTCCAATTGCGCATAGTCTATATTTATGTTGTTCATTGTTCTGAAACTTGTCATGTAATTTCAAGTCATATATATATATACATTATATGTATGCAATATGTATATATGTACGTATACATATATATTGATCGATGCATACGTTTTTGTGCTGGTATATATTGTTTTAATTCATAATATTGTATGATTTCCATTGATTTATTCGATCCCCATTCTTGTCGTCACCTTCAGCGATCTTCGCGCAGGCAGAGTTTATCAACCAAGGAGGCTGGTGAGCGACCCATTCCAGTTGCGTACACTATATGGGTATGTATAAATATATATATTTATTATAGTGTATATATATATATGTATATGTAATATGTATGTATATATATATACACACCATATATTATGTGTTTATACACTATATATGTTATACACAGCTATATAAATATATATGATAATTATACATATTTATATACACACATACGTGATAATCCCAGGTCATGTTTGGGTTATGATTCTCAATCTGCGTCAGACGTTAGGATTTGACTGGTGAATTTCCAGCTTATTTGGATGTCATTGGGATCATCCAACTAGTTGGGGGTGATACCAAAAGCGAAGTCTTGGGGTCATTTAAGTTCGATGAATTGATGCTATTGCCCCTTGGCCTTGACTTTTGGGACTGGCCAGCTTTCCCTGAATCAGTTGAAAGGGTTGATCACTTGTTGATTAATGCATTAAGGATCTTCGATTGGTTACAGTAATGCGCAATGGTTTCTCTCATTTCGGTATTTCCAGGTTATGGCAATTCTTGAGCCCATTGGGCGTACATATCCGAAGTCTGCATCAACATGTTTTTGTTTTTACATTCTTAATGCATATACATATGTACACACATCCAGATATGTATATTTGTGCCTTTTGATATATATATATATACATCATTAGTTTAATCAACATCCCAAACATATGTTAATCTATCATATTTTAATGTATCATATTCAAAACTATCATTGATGTATAGATATATAGGTAAACTACAACAACACTCCACGTCGCGCCCTCACGGATTCATCATGCTTGGGATTTGGGTAATGATCCCCCATGTTGGCAGAACTTTTTGGGTACTTAATTGCCTATGTCAGGTTGGTGTGAATATCTATTATATGTTAACCTATCATATAATATATATATATATATAATGTGTCACAATCATGCCTAGATATGATATATGTATATGTAAATACGATATATATATATATATATATGTACATATTCATATATGTGATATATGAGTATGAATTTCAAATATCATATATAGATATATAGTATATTAATATATAAATATCATGTTTTGATATTGATATATATATATATATATGTATAGTATACTGTAAATATTACATATACATATTATACAAATATACTTTTAAAACAGAATACATAAACTTAATATTTACATGTAATAGATACAACTTATATGCAAACATGATATGTGAACATTAAATATAGATATTATTAAATATTGAAAAATATTATTTGTAGATGATGTAATATATAAATAAATATATATATATAAACAAAAATAATAAATGTGATAGAGAAGTATGATATTCATATCATAGTATATACATATATTATGTTAACATATTCTATGATAAATATAGTATGTAAATATAGGACACACATATCATATATGGTACCCTCTGGTAATTTGTTACATAGCTATTGAAAATGGCCCAGTCGAAATAGTGGATTTACCCAGCTAGAAAATGGTGATTTTCCATAGCTATGTTAGTTTACCAGAGGTTAGACCTCCATTAATCACCATTAGATTCCACTAGATCACCATGAAATCCCATTAAACCCCATTAAATCACCATTAATCACCGATAAATCACCATTAAATCACCATAAAATCCCATAACATCACCATGAAATCCCATTAAATCACCATTAAATCACCATTAATCACCGATTGCTGAAGGCAAAGACCTGCTGCCCCAGCTGGGCGATCGAAAGATCCGCGTGGTGCACGGCAACACGTTGACCGCTGCGGCGGTCTGGCAGGCGCGACAACGTGGAGGGTTACCCTTGGGGAATCGAAGATGGCAATGGAAGGTTTTGATGGGAACATGATGTATAAAATTGTATAAATGGATATTTTAATAAGAAAATTATCATCGATCTATAGATGTAGGTTTTGAAGGGAAAAATAGTCAACATAGTTTGGAATAATCTTATAAATGGAGGATTTTCCATTGCAGTGTTTGATTACCAGAGGGTAAAGGAAGAAAACATATCAAAGAATGCAAAGTCCGAAACAAAATCCAACAAAACTTAGATTTGAAAAGCCAAAAGAGTTGTGTGTTAGTCCACCAGATGTGTTTTGACCATACACAATGTACTAAAATTGGTAAAGAGGATAATGCAATGTGTCCCAATACAAATGTCGGTCTAGGGTACCATAGATTTCAATAATTTGCAGGTATTAATTCTTATCAAAAAAATGGACACCTAGTTTTGACCTAGACCTCTCTATATCATGAAGCAACACATATTTTGGACACGACGAAAAAACCTAGCTTTGAGCACACATGAGGTCATGGAGCCAGCCAACACTGCGTTTAACGGCGTTAACTGTTTGGTCAATGGTAGGTGAACATGTTGTTTTGTTCAATTTTAATTGGAACATGTAAACCTAAACAGCTCAAAATTGTGTTTTGGTTTGTATGGTATCTAAGCTTACCTAAGATTAGCCACGAGCATGCTAACAGTGTTCCTTTTTTTTAATTTCTGGATTTGCATTCATTGTTGCAGCAGTCAATGAACTTTGGCACGGTTTGTTTTCCTTTTACGGGGGTTGTTTGTGTCATCTCCATGGTTCATTGTCTCCATTTATATAGTATATAAATGTATATAATCAAATTCCCCGCATACATGTTTCGATAATAGATTTGGATTGCCATCTTTGTTTCTGGTGAACATCCTGCAGATTAGATCAGTTCAATCCCACTTGTTGGTTTCTATGTTTCACTTTTGTTAGTTGCCATCTGGTTATTTGACAGTTTGCCATGGAAAATCACCATGCTATTAATAGGTAAACCATCTATTTTCGACTGGGCCATCTATACCATGGCTATGTAACAAATTACCAGAGGGTAAATCCCCGTTTTCACCGGTGAAATCCACATGTTCCGTGGCCGGTGATTTCTCGCTGAAAAAGACGTGGAGACGTGGAGTTACGTAACGTGACCAGGCCCTGAGGGAACACACTACGCCCAAGGAGCACTGGGAAAGTGTTCATATGTTGACTGATGTACATGGAGTCTATATCTATGTATATATATATATATTATATCTTGTTGGTGGTTTCAAACATGTTTCATTTTCCATAATATATGGGATAATCCTTCCCATTGACTAATATTTTTCAAGATGATTAAAACCACCAACAATATATATATATATATTAAACAACATATACATATATTCATATAATCATATATACATGTTGTACAATTGAACAGGCATTTTCTTGCAGAATCTCCAAGATTAGCCATGCATTTTGAGGGCAAAGAGTGACAGGTTTGATTTGGATGGTGCTCCTGCCACGAACCATAGGGGTACCCCATGTCATCCACTAACCATGTGTTTTTCATATATGTGTTTCCCTATTAAAAAATGCCATACATTGGAACTATGCCACAGTTTCAATTTGTAGATTTCATGATCTCACCCACAAAAGCAAAATATATGTTCTTTGTTTTAAACCATCATTCAAGGTGAATACAGTGTATACATTAAAAATATCATGACATCATGAAATTCAAGCGTTATGTCCCTACAGCTCCAAACACCTTCTGAGACTGTTTAATTTGGGCTTGTTTTTTGGGGTCTAAACATCTTCTCAGAGGGTCTTTGGATGTATTTGGAGCTCTAGCATTGTACGTTTTCGAACATAACATCTACCTATAGCACACTGTATACTACAATTATCTATAGTTATCTATAGTTATCTATAGTTATCTATAGTTATCTATAGTTCCATGTTGTTTCAAGTTGAATTTGACCAACAGCCAGGTGGTACCCCCATTTCATCCCCGTTTCAGCGGAGGACGAGATCGTCTTCGCGGGCTCCACGTCCAAGATCGGCCGTGCGCTTTGCATCCTGCTCTCCAACCGAGGGAACACCGTTGCCTGGTGATGACCGCATGGAGGGGCCTGGTTTATCATAGGTATAATACATATATATATATATATATATAGGTCGTAACTAGATGAAGGTTGATATAAACTATAGATAGAGGTTTAAATAGATATAGTTGGTTTTATATATAGAGATTGATATTGTGATTCTAACTATAGATGTAAGATGGGGTGAAAAAGGCAAGAAACGCAAACAAGCGTAACTAAGAGGAATATAGATATGAAAAAAACTACCAAATTCTACTGTAGATTACTTTAACCTGAAACCTATGGTTTGATAGATTTGTGCCTGAGTCCCCATAAGTGGAGATTGACAGCCACAGCTAAAGTAGTTGAAACTGCCTAGATCCAGAGAATATTAATGAACCTGGCACTGGCTTGGGTAGTTTAATACTTACATCTATTGCCATGGCCATGGAAATGACGAAGCAGCTCAATTGCGATTCAGCAGGGTATCTAAGATTGACCATGATCTAGGGATAAACATGTCCATGCCATGAAGGATCAGATAAGGATAGATAAGGACCTGCGACACGGTTTCCGTGTCCCATTGATATCTATAAAGATATGTTTCACATGCGCAAAAATGGGGGGTTGAAATTGATCAGGTTATAAATGGTTATAACATATCATGTACGTCTGTGTATGTATATATATAGATAATATAAATATGAAAATATCTTAATATACTACTTAGCTTTTAACCCTTTGAAATATATCCCTTCATATGACTGTATCTAGTGTTCTGTTGGTGGGTGTTTTCTTGTTCGGAGCCTTGACCGATACATTTTGTAAGCCGAAGTTTGAGCCATGACGCAACGAGTTTGGCTTTTCATTGTGTTTCATGTATATCTCAAGTCCATAGGTATATATGATATATGTAATTCAACTGTATGTATATTATATATATATATATATATATTGTTACCAATATATATATATATATATATACGTATTATATATTATGGTGCACCTGATGTGTTCATATGCAAATTCGGCAACACTTGCAGAGGGCAAGCGTTACCAGACCACTTTTTTCTGGGGCCCAAGGTCAGGATGATCACCGGATGTGAAGAACGGTTCCAGAAGATCAAAAGCGAGGCAGGTATCATGATGATCATGGCGGATGATTGTCATGCAGGTATCATGGAGATAGAAAAACGGGATTCCGAATGGGGTTAGATTTTTTTCGGATGAAATGGGGATAGAATTGGGATAGATTGGGATAGAATGGAGATTGTCTGGGTAAATTGTAACGACTTCAATGTGAGGGTCCATGGGGACTTGAAATGGTGGTCGGTCAGTAGATGCTCGTAGCGGGTAGCTATATCCCCAAATGGCCGAACTCTTCAGATTCAGGTGGGTGAATTATATTGATGACAGTTTATCAGATTTTATCTTTATTGATTTTGAAAAATCCATTTGATTTTTTTTGGGCTGGATCAACAGAATAAAATTGTACTGGTTGAAACTTTCAGCACCTGGTCCCTGAAGATGTTTCACATTGGGAACTATATTGGGTATATAGAAAATGTGTTCTCCACTCTCACCAACGGTGTAGAGTGAAAGTTGATGATCCTTATGTTGACAGTGTGAACTGTTCACTTGTGATATCCACTTCTGCGAGGTGTTTACTGTTTACGTCACTAAGGTTTAATATCATTTCCCCCAAGGATCAACAATACTGCATGGGCCCAAACAAGAAATGAGCAGATTCAAATACTCCATACTGCGAACACTTTAAACTAAAAGTCCATTGATGATTAAAATCACAGGGTTTCTGGGAGCTGCCAATCGATGCGAGTGAAGGGATCTTTCTGAACTCCATTTCGATCAGCACAGGCCGGAGAAGGTGGAAAGAAATTGGTGAGAGCTCGGACCTTGGCTTTTTGCCGGGCGCAGTGAGCGTGTGAATCGGGATCTTGGGGGATGCAGAAAACTGCAAGGAGGAAGTGGTGAAAAGTTCTTTCTTATCCTACTGTGTGTAAACAACAAACCATCCCCCAGTCATCACCATTTTTATATGTGGTATAAACCATTCTCTATTATTTTACCCACATCAAACAGGATATCGACAAAAACATATTGTACGTAAGAGCTAATCTATTTATTTCACTTAAAGGTGTATCTAGAACCATGGGCTGGCAGGAGATGGCGACCAAAGGTGACACATCCTGTGTACCCCCCCCCGTGGGGGCAACATGATAAGGTCCACGGCTGGGTCCAGCTATCCCAGTGTTGTTGGGGATGTATCCAACTGTTGTTACGTACGGACTTGCAGAAAGGAGCCCCTTCGAAAGGTGAGGTGTTGCATATAGGCTATACCGAAACATATATTTAATGAATAATATATATATATATACATATCATATCAGGTATATATTCACATCTGAATACACTTCCTGGCAGCTTTCTGCCTTGTTGCTCTCAATTTCTGCCTCCCTTGAGCATACTCCCCAAATTCGCGACATACTTTGCCGCGCTGTGGAAGTGGTAACGCACTCGTGTCGCACCGGACGTGCTTGTGTCAGCTCGAAGGCATTCTTCATATATCTCGGTTATAGAAATAGTTAGATTGGGTCAAATAAACATCAAACATCCAAAAAACATCAATCTTCCCAAAAAATCGCCCTTTCTTAATATATGTCGGTCTATCCCTTTCTCGAACCGTTTGGGCTCCGCAACGGGGCTCCGTTAGGTGCAGACCTACGAGGAGGGCGTGGGCTGCCGCGCCTGGATCTTGGGCAAATGGATGGAGCCCAAGAAGATCCAGGCGCCGGCGTGGTGGACCACGAAGTTCTTGGCTGTTTTTTTTTTTAATGGGATGTCTAATGATGTCTATAGGATTTCTATAGAATTTGATGTTTTTTTAAAGGGATTTCCATTGAATTTATTGGGATATCTATGGGATTTTATGGGTTTTCCATGGGATTTCTATGGGATTTAAGATGTGATCTAAGATGTGATTTCATGGGATTTGACAATGAAGGGGATTTGAGGGGATTTCCTGGGAGTGTGGAAAGCCGTTCTGAACCAAAGAGTATTTCATGGCTCAAACGAAATTTGACGCAGCTACAGTAATTTTCAACATAGCTATATTCACAATTTCCCTTAAGTGTTTCATGATTTTCCCGCAAAAAACAGCTCCATTTTTGGGTGTTTTTTTTGTTCCCAATGATTTTCCCACAAAAATGGCATCCAAACCTCCACAAAACGGGCGGATTTCCGGCCTGGCAAGGCGATGATCCCCCCGGGGTCCTTGATCATCGACTTTGCCGTGCCCCACGTCAGCGAGGCTTCCATTCATGGGGGATCCTCAAAATGGATGGATTTTCCAGGTTGATTTCATGGAACATATGGAAAAAGCGACAAAACCGACATGGATGATAACTAGGGGTAGCCCTATTTTAGGACACCTTCATATAACTATGTATAACTGGGATGTACCATCTGGTATTTGTTCAGAGTTTTCTGAAAGTCACCAGTCTGAAGAGGTTAAATCCAGAGGGTACAGGAAGGCCCAGCAGTTGTGTTTTTAGGTTTATAATTCCATCCACTATGCAAGTCCTATTATGTCCTATTCAGTGTTGGTTTACCTTCCACATAGATAAGCCAGGAATCATTCGTGCTTTCTCTTGAAAAGCTTGGGATTTGTTGGCATTGCTAGAGTTGAAGGTCTGACACATGCGCTACATTTCTCGTGGATTCTTGTGGTCCGAAGGACGAATTCCATGACGATCCTGCGAGAATCACCCCAGCCATTCCATTGGCTAAATGTTATTTGGAGGGTCCAAACCATGCTAAACCCATGATAAGCCATGGCTATGTCCGCTCTTTCTATCCCGCAAAAAAAACACAACACCACAGCCAAGATGGGTTTGTTTGAACATAGGCTACCCACGCCATGGCTACCCCTACATCCTGTTTGTCACCTTTTTGTCACCATTTTCCCTATTGGTAAACCCAATCATAAGCCATCCCCAAATCTCAGGAGATCGCCAAAGACTACCGCTACGTGAATGGCGCATCATTGAGCTACATTGGAGGTACCAAGCACAGGGCCAATGTAAACGCATCCCACTCATTGCTTGACCTTCGATATTTTGTTTTGCAAATTTCTAGTGTAATAGTGTTGTGATTGCTGGCGGATATATATATACATGTTTTGCTGTAGTGCCTTTGTATGACTTTTAACATTGTGTCCAGGGTATCTAAGCTTACGCATGATGGTATCATCCACCAAAAAAATGGTTGTTATAGAAGAGCCCTCTAGCGGAAAAACAAGATCAGAACCACAACAATGGCAATAATAAATCAGCGTGGAACTTGCAGGAACATGTTCTGTACATATCACATATATAATATGATATATACATATTCCACTTTTGTTCAAGCATCTATATATACTCAACTGATCTAAACTGGGTGATGTTCTATTGTCACTCCGTTGTCACGTTTGAGTACCAGAAGGTAGGCTGCACAGATTGTCAAGGTTCTTTCGAGGTTCGTCCATGATTGCGGAAACATCATGTGGCCTTATTAATTGGTTGGTGGTTTGGAACATTTCTTATTTTTCCATATATTGAATATATTAATCCCAACTGACTAATATTTTTCAGAGGGGTTGAAACCACCAACCAGAAATCAGTTGCGACTCGTGGCATGATTTCCAAGAGCTGCTACTGACCTTCAACGGCGGTAATTTCTGTTCTTATCTCTGCCAACCTTCTTGGTTTTGCCCGGCGAATAGTGCGCAGTTTCCCACTCAAAGGAGTGTTGCGGTTGTAAATGGATGTAAAATGATGTAAATATATACAGAAATCATCATCATATGGTTGGGAGACTCTAAGTAGTTCCTGGCTCCTGATTGAATGGGCAATACGCTAATCGCTACTGTATAGCTCCAAATCCCTCCATCCTATCCAATAGGGTCAGCCGGGGAACCTGATCGCCAGAAGTGCTTGATATGTTCACATCGGAAAATGATGTGATTAATTCATGACTCACTTATTAATGATGTTTCCCTTGTCAAATATCCATATAAAACATGTATATACAATATATATATATAATATTATATAATTATAATCGCAAAAAATCCCGAGTGAAAACCCAGAAGTTTCAGCTACCAGATCCAGATCTGTCTCAGGTCAGAAGGAGACCGATATCACTTTCTGCCATGATGTGCCAAACACCGTCCCGGCCTGTCTAGCAGCAGGGTCGCCCAAACGCCTTCGTCGGTGTGAGGATGGAGCTTTTCCAAGTCCTGGGACTACCCTCTGGTAAACATACAAAAAACTATGGAAAATCATCATTTTTCACCGGCAAATCAACTATAAATGGCCATGTTCAATAGCTATGTTAGTTTACCAGAGGGTACCCCCAGTCATCATGTCATGGACCCCCAGTCATCATCGTCATGGCTGGATGACCATGACTATTGAAACAACCCAGTCCGGTGACTGGGGATCCCCAGTGACTTGAGAACCCCCCAGATGCTGTAGAAGATTGATGATTATGGGTGAATAATGGGTGAATAATGGGTGAATAATGGGTGAATAATGGGTGAATTTTTGGTGAACGCCAGAAACCTACAATTTGCTGGAGAGTTGAGGGGAAAAGATGGTTTATTTTTTTGGGTTTACCACATTGTAGATGTTGGGAAATCTTTGGATTATCGGATTATCTGTCCATTTGCCAGTGTGACATGACAGAATCTTCTACCCTCTGGTAAACTAGCATAGCTATGGAAAACCACCCTGTTTAAAAGGTAAATCATCCATAAATTTGTCATTTTCCATAGCGACTCGTATGTTTGTTTAATGGATGGTTTATTGAGTATACATATAATAACTAAAGAACATCTGACCAATTGTGGTCAAGTCATCGAGTGAAATCCGCTTGCAGGGTAATGCTGGGATGATAAATGGTTTGGAAACAGTTGTTCATAGGACAATAATTATCAATGTTCCTGCTTACTATACAGTTTCATAGTACTGGTATCATATGACCTGTGTAAAAATATTGTTTTAAGTATAAACAATAGAGATCACTGCATAGTTATCCTGGTGCACCATAGGTATATATATATATAATTGTCCCTGGGTAATTCTTGGACATGTTAAAATTGGGGATGAACCATTTGTTTATTCCATCTGCAGCAATCCTCCGAAGTGGAAAATCAAGTATCAACAACAAGTAGGAACACCTCATTGCTAGAATTTCATGATGTTCATGGGATTTACTTCTTCCAAGATGAAATTATATATGATATTTCACGTGCTTTCTCTTTTCTTTCTGACCCAAAAGAAAAACCATGAAATGTATTGCTCGGTGCCACCAACAAAATTGGAGAGAGTGAAAATTTATAGGGTTGGGTCATGTTGTTTTTTTTTTTCAAAACTGTTCTTTACCATTTGGCTTTGTTTGACAATGGAGTACCCGCCAAACTTGATCGCTTTAAAGTGCTTCAAAACCTCATGCTCTTATTTAAACTATTTCAATGGCCATCGATTGGGGGTGCAGTAAATCCTCATTTTTGCACCAACCCTTTCGGTCATCGTATCCCATTCTGTGCCCCGAAAAAGTCACCATTTGATATGTATATATCATATATGTATATGTACTGTATGTATATATATATATATGTAGATGTATATGTATATGTATATCTATATGTAGATGTATATGTATATCTATATGTAGATGTATATGTAGATGTATATGTATATTATATAATGTTCTATTATTATATTATTTTATTTTATATCCTATTATATTATATTTTATTTATTTTACTAGATTATATGATATATATATATATTAGATTATATATATTATTATATTATATTGTTTTATTTTATATCCTATTATATGTTATTTTATTTATTTTACTATATTATATGATATATATAGATATATTTAGATTATATTATATTAAATTAAATTGTACATATTATATTATATTATGTATTTTTAATATTATATTTTAATATATTATTATATTAGTTTCTAATATGCTATTATATTATATTACATTATATTATATTATACTATATTATATTATATTATACTATATTATATTATATTATATTATATTATATTACATTATATAGTTTTGTATTATATTATATATATAATTATATATATATATGTCCCGGATAATCCACAAGGATTCCAGTGAGGCCATCTGGAACTGACCACATGCTCAGGCTGCGATCGTCCATGCCAGGGAGAACACACAAAAGCACGAGACTGGAGAGGTGCGCAGCAATCAGCAGGCAGCAGGAGGCAGCAGGCGTAGCAATGGGATACTTGCCGGCTAAAAACACATGTTTTTTTCAGGCCAGTTTTTGTGGGTTGGGGAGTGGGTTATTAGATGTTATAAGCCCAGTTTGGCTAGGGTTACAGAGTCCGAACAAATCTAACTTGGGTTATAATTCACGTACTAGCTGAGGTAAATATAACCAAGTAGATGCTGCATTATCCCCCAACCGAAATCGCCAGTCGCCGTCAAGACCATCACAATCATTGAAACAATATTTGACGTTTCTACACGTTCTTAGCATCGCCGACTATGAATAGCCAGTATACCCACTGTTAGTGGGTGCGGAGACAACCCAATACATACATGTACAATGCACATATTTATCATATTCTTATTCGTGCACATACACATACCTTGAACTCATGACCACAGTCTTAGATGGCGCATTCACCAACCTGGTGAAGATGACCCCGTTGTTTCAACCACCGCCCTGCTGAAGGATTTACCATGATTCAACTCCACAACAACTATGGTGATTAGATTGATGATCAGTTATATTTTTCATGATATTTTATGAGTTATTATATTGTATGGATGATATATTGATAGTTACTATATTACAACTATGGTGATCAAATTGTAAAATCCATGTGCTGATACGCTGATACGCAATCCTTTCCCGAAACTCGGCCCGATCTTCCCTTGACATCTCCTTTTGCTCAGGTGGATGTTGACGAAGTTGAGGGTTGGTGGGAAAAGGCGGACGATGCCCAGCCAAGTGCCGGATTTCTGGATGAGTTTGGCCACTGTTTTTTGCCACTGTAATTCCCCAACAGCGTTTTCTGAAGCTAGCTGTGGGTTTGTCTGAAAGGTACCCCCTAATCCAATGAATAATCATGATTGTCCTTCAAAAGTCTAGTTCGGGGTTCCCGGTTTCAGACGCAGCCATAATAAATCTTAGAGATTTTCTGAAATTGGGAGTTTTTCGACTTGTCTTGCAAGTACTTAATTTCACTCGAAACAGGCAGGAAAAAAAGGATCTGAAGAAGGCAATGTAGATCTAATTTTCTGAAAATCATCCATGGAGGTTTCCAAAAACCGGTAGATGATGCCTTCTAGCTATGAAATGTGTTCCATTCATAGCTCATGGATAGCAACTGACAATAAGTGACATAATATGTTGGTTTAAATCAATATCAAGGCAGTTGTTTTGTCCTGCAAACATATTAACTTGCTTAAATGCCTAGTTGGTACACAAGACAATTAGCTTCATTGACATATACCAACTAACGACGATACCTAAAGTTAGACAGGATATCTAAGTTAACTTGTTCTGATCAGGCAAGCAAGCACACACGCACGCAAGCAAGCAAGCAAGCATTCCTGCAATTCCCCAACAAACCCTCACTAAACTCCGGATTGAAGCGTCCATGAAGATATGAAATGAGCAGTCACATGGCCAATCGTATACGCCCTGCAAATATGTATCTGATATATATATATATATAATTATATACACAGCTCTTTCTTTATTTGTATACATATATATATATATATATGCTATCATATACAGTACATATATGAGATAATATCAGTATATATATATATGGATATTATATATATACAGGTACATACATACAAGTTACTACATATCACAATATATATATATACACATTATACATAAATATACATATTACACACATAGAGTTCAACATTGTTGGGTTGTAGATTTATGTATATACATGTTTTATTATTTATACATTCATATATCAGACATGTTTGTATAAGTATATATATATACACAGATACATAACATAGAATCCACTGAAGATCCAACATTTTTGGATGTTCCAGCTTTGGTGAGGCCACAAGACACGGCTTCAGCCTGGCTTGTATTGAGCCATATGCACGGGAGCCAAGCTATGAGAAACTGAGAGGTTCTATGTAGAAAAAGCATGGGGAAAAGTGGAACAAAACATGGAAAACATTGTGGTGGGCATATGTTTCACCACTTACACATCTATATCTACGTTTTTGATTTTCTTTGAGGACCCCAATGGAATATTATTCAATAATGGATGTTATGTGGCATTTAACCATCAAATGGCGATATCAACTGGATACTGTAGCAATGAGGGATGAATGTGGTATATACAACACCCCAGACCGTTTTTCGGGGTATGATTCTTCGTTTCAGAACCCCCGACTTGTAAATCATTGAGTAAACATTGACCACATGTGCCATGGTCACTACTTCGAATATATGCCGGGATATGCTTATCCCCCATTAATCCAGGTATGTTTCCCCTGTGTCAGGAATCCGTTGTGATAGTGGGACGACCATATGACTTGGCATCGACCATGGCGCAAAGTACCTGGGACCCGCGATCTGTTGCCGAGGCAAAGGCCAAGAAAGTTGCCTGATCGACTCAACTTCTACTAGTCACATTTCACCTTTTCAGCGGCGGAGCTTTTCCAGAGGGTGCAGCAGCTATTTGGGGGCGAGGCTAATTAGAAGTCAACCACAAGAATCAATTGAGTATTGACTACAAGCAAACCCTTTGACCGGAAGAAACTGTGCCAATATTTTATCAGCATATGCCATATAAATATATAACATTATATAACAATATTTATGTGTATATATATACATTTTTTGTTCGCATCGTAAATATTTACTATATATGATTCAATATGTGCATGGAGTGGAGCGTCGCTCTGTGCGAGAGTTTAAAAAAGGGTACTGCAATGATGGGCTTGGAGATAGCGACAACTTGTAGGTGTGAAGGAACGTGACTGAACACTGATGGATTTCTATCAAAGGGTTATCCGGAAGTCACACGGTTGATCATTGTTACCGCATTGGATAACTTGTTTTATCATGTTTGGATATTTTTTGTAGATTAGCTGTTCCACAGCGACAAGGTAGGGGCCCCATGTAACAATTGGTTTACTTTAACCCTTCCGTAGAAGTATTTACCACATGTCACCCATGCATTAAACATTATAAACATTCAACCCATCCGTGAGTCCAGTTTTTCAACCAGCTTATCAATCTTAGCTGTTGAGGACCGCGCTTCACATAGGGCAAGGGCGTTCTCTTCTGTTCCTCGGTGATGCGCCTAAGGAAAAGCTCCGCAATCGCGGCACAAAATTTCAGAGCAGAAAATTCTCAAATTGGGAACCGCTCCCCCCCGGACAGCGCGATGGAGCCGCGTTAACCGAGAGGTTTTTTTGCGCAAACCTTCAGGCCACGAATGCATGGAGGAGAAAAGCTGCAATCGGATTCTCAAATCGGGTATGGTTTAAGAATATATATATATCAATGAAAACTTCAAAACAGTTGTTGAATATTAACAATTATCAATAATCGCGTGTTCATTATATAGAAGCCTACTGTGTTTTTTGTCCAAGTCAAAGCTACTATGACCCCGCTACAAAATGTGCAAGTCCCGTTCGGAAGTCTCAATCCCTGTGCCAAGGGACCCTGAAGTTATGTTTGGTTGTATTCATAATAATCCCGAAAAAATGATAGAACAATATAGAACAGTACATTATATATATATATCATATTATATCATTATAGATCATCACGTGTTATCACTATTTTAGTAGCTTTATACCGTTATAATATATATATACATATACATCCATGACATGCCTAGGGTATGACCCAATCCCCCAGCTGCTCTCGGCTTCGGTTCAGCAGCTCCAGCGCGAATCTTCGTGAAGAGAGTGGTAACGTTGCCTAAGCTGGGTAAAGGCTCTGGTCCTATGGTCCTATGGTCCTGGCCGTTGAAGCCTCCCATGATGCCGTACACATGGTTTCCTGATGCTTCCTCTGTTCCTTAACCATCCTTAACCAACAACTCAAGTTGTCAGATTCTGATTGGACAGCTATATAAAAAAAGAGACATCGTGTGACATCGTGCCCCGGCCAGCCTCCCAGCCTCTGTGTGGTGCGAATTCTTCGATTTTCTGGGCCTTTAAAAACCGTCCAGGTTGGCCCCCTGACAGCGACCCCGCCCCCTCAACTTTGGAGGAAAAATTGGTGCTTGGGTTGAAGGGTGGAATGGTTGAAGTACCAGGCCGTGTGGTGTGTACTTTACATATTCATTACATATTCTACATATTTTTCTTGAGATGTATGTGTATATGTCTGAGTCTATGTCATTCTATGTCTATGTGCAGGTTAAGAACGTGTTTGGGAAAAAAACAATCATTCAGCAACTAGACGTAGGACTAGATGAACTAGGTTCATGTCGGTGTTATGTTGGTTTTTATGTTGGTCTGTAACTACGGAAGCGATGCTAATAATGGGAATTCCCTGATGTATCCGTACTTTGTTGGGATTGTAATACAAACCAACTTATAATATCTTATAATTGGGTGCCCTTGCTGCAAGTTTGGAGGCATGGTTGTTTTGGTGGCAGACCAATTTTGTCTCAATATTAATTGGGTTATTCTTTCTAGCCATGCAAACAAATGTAAACAGCTCATGATTTTCCCCAGGAGAATGATGAACAGTACAATGATCTACAAATGGTCGGTTTTCCCTTTGTTAACTTGCTGGAGGCTAAACGACTATAAATTTGGGACACAGATGCAAAAACACATGAGATGAGTATATCAATGCAACTCGGAAGTGTTCTAACTAACTAAACTTCCATTGAACATAGAACATCTTCATTTATTGTTTTTTTAGTTTATTAAAATCAATAAATCCACCATTTGCAGATGATTTTCGCAGCGATCAACCGCCGTTCAGAACGAGGATTTCCTGCCGTTCAGAACGGTCCCCCGCAGGTGAGTTACCTACGAGGCCGTCGCTGTAAGAGCGACGCAACGGACAAACTCCAGGCGGAACGGCGATTTCGTCCAGACGGATCCAACAGGGGCTTCATGTTTTGTGAAAACAGGATTGTTATAATATGTTATAATAGATGTTATAATATGTTATAATAGATGTTATAATATGTTATAATAGATGTTATAATATGTTATAATAGATGTTATAATATGTTATAATAGATGTTATAATATGTTATAATAGATGTTATAATATGTTATAATATGTTATAATAGTTATAATAGTGTTATAATATGTTATAATAGATGTTATAATGTGTTATAATAGATGTTATAATGTGTTATAATAGATGTTCTAATATGTTATAATAGATGTTATAATATGTTATAATAGATGTTATAATATGTTATAATAGATGTTATAATATGTTATAATAGATGTTATAATAGATGTTATAATAGATGTTATAATGTGTTATAATAGATGTTATAATATGTTATAATATGTTATAATATGTTATAATAGATGTTATAATATGTTATAATAGATGTTATAATATGTTATAATAGATGTTATAATATGTGATAATAGATGTTATAATGTGTTATAATAGATGTTATAATATGTTATAATATGTTATAATAGATGTTATAATGTGTTATAATAGATGTTATAATATGTTATAATAGATGTTATAATATGTTATAATAGATGTTATAATATGTTATAATAGATGTTATAATATGTTATAATAGATGTTAACTATTCGGTGGCAATATCACCAGCAAAGATGTGGACATAATATGATACAACCTGATATCTGGTTGGTGGTTTGGAACCATGGAATTTTATGACTTGCCATTCAGTTGGGAATGTCATCATCCCAACTGACGAACTCATATTTTTCAGAGGGGAGGTATAACCACCAACCAGATATATGTTAACTATTTTGAAAATTCCAACACTGTTTGGGTTTTTGGAGTTTCAACTCGTGAGAAATTGGAGATTCGCAGCCTGGAAATCAAATAACGATACCAGACATGTTCACTTTAATAGTAATTTCATCTTCCAAACCCCAGGTGTGGTTTTCTATACCCCCTTTCGCCAGTTGTCGATTCCTGTCGCTATTTCCAGCTCAAGTGGCCTGCGAAAAACATAAGTGTTCACACAAAGTACATGAGTCCAATCACAAATATATGTTTCATGAGTGTTGACAAACATGTCTGAAATGTGCAAGTAGTTGCATTGGGACAGATTGGTAATTACATAAGTTGATGTTGTGCAATTCATGGATTGATGGCAATTCCAGAGGTTTGCACATGTTGCCACCACTATATCTGATTTTGGTAGCTGAAATTTTCACGAGTTGGTCCAAGTTGGTCAATGTTTGGATGTGACTGCGATACACTATGATGAAATTTCTTGTCCTTGTGGCACCTGCGCCTCGGCTTTTTTTCCAAATGTCTCACATGTCGGTCACTGGATGATCCTGGGAGAGTGGCTAGAAGTTGTTGAAACTCACCCATAACAGTTTCCACTTCGGGATTATAAACTATTGTAATAGCCCTAAAATAAGTTACGACGACTTTTTTCCTGGAGTCGCTATAAAGACTAGCTTTAAAAAAACTCAGTTCCAGGATCATCCAGGTGTCCAAGTGATGTTTGTTTTCCAGATCCCGGATTGCCATAAATGAGCTTAAACCACAATTGAAGAATTCACCAGAAGATTGCAGGGTGTTAGAATAGCATTGCTCTTCTCTTCCACCTACCAGCGTGCCACTGAGGCATTGCTACTGGGGCCGACTGCAGCAGCTCAGCTTGTGATGTTCCAGCCAAATCATGGGTATTCAACCAACCCCAAGGAGCTCGGCGGAGCGGAGTATCTATATTGTTATTTGGTTGGTGGTTTGGAATGGAACATGAAATTTATGTTTCCATCCAGTTGGGAATGTCATACTCCCAACTGACGAACTCAATTTTTTCAGAGGGGTAGGTATACCACCAACCAGTTATATTCCCTATTCAATGGGTGAGCTTCCCAACCACATGATAGTTGAGGAAAGCTAAGGTCTTGTGAACCAACCAAGTGTTCATGAAGAGCTTATTCACCAGCACCAGCTATCATTGGCCGGTGTCACCGAAATGGGGAGGGGGGTTGAAGACCCATGACCAAGGATGGTTTCGTAGGAGTAAAAAGAGTCAATGTTTTATGCCCCTGCCTCCCAAGGTAAGCCAAACAATCTTTTCAACTGGAAAGATCTACGCTGTGAAATATATGAGAGGGTTCTGTAAATGACTATGGGTACATTACAGCTTGCTTGCGTAGGCTCAGTGTGGGGCAATAAAAAAAACACCTCAAAGAAACAATACCCAACAATCACAAACGCTCACGCGTATCTAAGATTCGCCATGGTTACAGATTAAATCTAATTCCACCCAATCCCCAATAACTTGGAAGCTGACAAACATTCTGGGTTTGGGTCCAAGTCCACGTGTTATTTTCCGAGCGACCGGATTCTTTCCAATCGTTCTGTGGTTCCCCAGTTCCCGGGGAAGTTCCCGGGGAATCTCGCGACCGAGACATACGGAGACCATCAAACACCTCTGGTTTCGTAGGGCTTTGTTTCGAAGCTGGGATACGAAAGGGAATGGATTTCACATCCATAGCCATTTTGAGGGGAACGGAAGGATAGCTACTGATGGTTTTTTTGACAGCCAGGTTTTCCAGAAACATCCAGAAACATATGGTGGATCTTCAACTCGAGAAAGCAGCCCGCCGTGGGAGTGCCTGAAAATTATATAGTGATACCCTATGATACCCTAGTTTATGGCAATTTTGCTGTGGAAACTGATAGTTCGTGAGCTTTGGGGTTCCCAATTTTGAGAATAAAACCTGATCCCAAGCATCGATCAGAAGCTGAGGCAGTGTTTCAGAGTGGCGACTCCAGGGTAGAGGAGCCGGGGAGGGTAATCCTATCCCCCTATGAAATATCCCCAAGGACCCCAAAATGAAGAGATCCAATACTAAGCCAATTCTGCAGGTCCATTTCTGGTAAGGTCACATTGCGGGCAAATGAAACCGACATCTTGGGCCAAGCCATTGGCTAGATCCGCCCTATCTATTGATTCATGATGTCATTTTTCGTTGGGACATGGCCATACAATGTCGTGTAGCTAATGTATGAAACCTTGCAAGAACACTGCAGAATAGATTGAACATGACATGGCATGGCATGACATGCCATCACATGACATGATATGACATATGTCTATCTACCTATCCACCTATCCACCTGTCCGGCTATCCACCTATCCACCTATCTACCTCTCTCCTATCAACCTATCAGCCTATCTACCTATCTACCTTTCTACCTACCTGTCTAGCTAGCTTTTGTTTAGTATCCCAATAGATATAAGCGCAAAATCCCACCAACATTGTGATACTTGAATGTCCTTTCTTTTAAGTGTGAATATACAACTATACTATATATGCAGTATGTATATAAACCTCCATCCATGAATCTATCGATCCCATCCGCCCATCCATCTATTTATATATATATATATTAAACTTATTAAACAACTACTTTCATAATATAATAGGTAATCAACTAATCATCAACTAATCATCAACTAGTCATCAACTAATCATCAACTAGTCATCAACTCTCTCTCTCTATATATATATATATTATGGTCACCCGCCCCAACCACGGCCTACCTTGAGCTTTGTTGGTGGCATTTGCAGTAATAAAACAATTATTTTCCTGTCCAGCTTTTTGTGTGATTTATATAATACCATTTCTTTGGGTGTTTGGTTGCTTAAGATCAATCCAGATTAATCCAGATTAATCGGAACCAAATCTGATTCATCTGGCCCCCAAGGCATTCTTGTCAAGTCATTATTTAAAGAACGTCTATGCTAAACATGCGTAGTATTCCTTGGGGATGTGCAATTCTTCTTTTCAGGTGTGAAGCCTTTGGGGATGTTAAATTATGTTTTTGGTGAGGGGAACCTTTCCTTCATATAAATGGTGTTCTTGTCCCAGTAGAGCGCAGCTGGAGTTCTTTGAAAGGAGTGTTACATATTTCCAAAAAAATGGTGTCATTGAAAGGATTGTTACATATGTTCAAAACATTGTGTAAATTTCAAAAGATGCAGCTGATTCAACTTTATTTTCTTGAGTAAAGCCTTTCCTTTAAACAAATGGTGCTCCTTCCAAAGAGATGGCAGCTGGGTTTCGATGACAATGGGTGTTACATTTTTGTTAAACAAATGGTGCTACTTTCAAACCTAAAAGCCAGCTGAGCAGCGTCAAAAACCCCCAAGCAAGAAAGTTAATTGGGGATTAAACTAAGTTGGGCCCGCGGAAGTGAAACCCACGTCCGCGGAAGCGCGCGGAAGGGCTTGCGGAAGCAGACGCTGATCGTCCGATCGCGGAAGGGCCGCGGAAGACAATTTGAGTACCGTATTTACATATATCAAATATATATATATTTATTTTTACATCTATTATATACGTATACATATACATATACATATTCATATATACACAGATACATATATACATATACATACTGTATACATATACATATACATATACATATACATATACATCACGGTTCGCACGCCGTGCAACTATAGATGTTGATGCGATTCGTGTGGAAAAGGTGCTGTGCAGTCAGCCTTCATGGGGGCTTGGCGCAGGATGGAAGGTCATCCCTGTAACCCGAAGTGCTTTGAGATGTTATTTTGAACCCGTTTTGGCCCCGAAATTCGCGGAAGCCGCGCGGAAGCTCCGCGGAAGCCGAATCTTCTCTTGCCCGCCCCCAGCACACGCGGATGGGTACCAGCGGCTGCTTGACCATCGTCTCTCTCCCTTTCTTTCCGCCTTGGCGAGTTGGATACTACGACGAGCCTCGTGCTTGGGAACAACCAGGAGCTGAAGCAGGCAAAGAGAACAGTGTTACTCGCAGATTCCGCGACCAAAAGACAAAGAAGGCCGCTTACATGCCGAGCCGAAGGCCAACCTTTTTGCAAAATTGCTCT